GGTAGCGGGGGCGGGGGCGTTAGACGCTACGGCGGCGGCGTGCGTACGTGCGCTTGAACACGGACCGGCGGCGGGGCACGCGAGGCATGCCTGCGAGGCATGTTTGGCGACGGCGGCGAGAGATGCGGGGGGAGAATAATTACCAAATGAGGCCCTATAGGCTTCGAATTCGGGCGCGATTGACGGATATTTTTCCCGAATGAAGTCGATGAAAAGTTTTTCCTCCATCTTTACGTGATTTTCGCCCGGGGGGGGCGGCCCCGGGACTTAAACACGCGCTCGCCTTGCGGCGAGGCCCCTGCGTCGGTAACACTAAATTGGCCGAAGCGATTCTAGGAATTTTAGAAATTTTAGCGAATAGAATAAATAGAATAGAATTAGAGTGAATAGAACCACTGCACAGTTCCCGGGCGGCAATGCCTTGCAATTAGGCGCAGGTACAAATTCCGAGAAACACTTGGGCCACAGATGTGCCACGAACAATGATCTATTATCACCGGTAGTCACTTCCGACAAAACAATGAGCACGTCCACGCGCGTCGGTTGCTCAAATCGGAATGCGGGAAGGCGACGAGCGAGCTTGTGTGGTTTTTTTATTTTGTTCATTTATAGTTTCGTCGGGTATACAATAATGATGACTTATTAACTGTTTAGCATTTGAAAGTGTACGAGTGAGGGAAAATGAAACAAAACCGCTGGATGAAACTTCTCGGGTTCTTCTGAAAGAGTCTCGGTAAATAACCACCATTTTACTGAAACTATATTTCATCCTATCTTATTTCGTTTCATTTAATGTCATCCCAATTGATTAAAGTCTTGAATTAATCAACTTAATCTCATTTTTCATAATTATAACAGAATATACGAAAAAAATATATGACTTGGCTTAAAGGTAGTATGACCAGGTCACAAAATCTTTAAAAAAAATCTACTTCACATCGCCGCTTGATTGACCAGTCACGTGAGCCAAATTTTATTTGTGTTACATTGCGCTGTTTTATTTTTAATATTTTAATAATGCGTAGCTTACAATTTTTTGTTATCGTCCGATGACCAGACCCACAGCCACGCATCATTTTACAAAGTGCCCGCGCCCAAAAGCACAAGTTACCTTCAACAGATCTTGTAGTTTATCTAAAGCCCAATACAGTGTATATAATTCGACCAGCAGTTTCATGACTCGACGTAACGCTGGTGAAAAGCTTGATGAGACCTTCACAAACTCTTCGTGGAAATACGATATAATAATCACTCTGCAGTGAGACTGAAAAAAAATGATTTATCAAAAGTTAATTCTTTATTCTTTATTGTACACACAGTTAATACAATACAATAATTGCGAAAAGTTATAAAATGACGAACTTAACTCAACAATTGATTTATCTACCAGCTAACCGTTCTTAAAGAGGAAGAGCTTTTCATAAGTGGGTAGAAGAGTACAATCTAATCAATGTACTTATTGATGCAATACACAATAACAATAATAAGAAGAAAAAAAACCACTAATACATAATATATCAAACTATATGTATACATACACAATTACACACATAAATAACATAAACATATATATACACGTACATATATAATGAAATACATAAAATAAATACTTAAAAGTAATGCAAAATCGATAGATAGTGCTCCTTTAATGCCTTCCTGAATACTTTAAGTGAGGAGCTTACTGCACTACTAAGCACACTGTGTTATCGCGTTACGGAGATCTGAACAAAAGTGAAATGAGGTGGTTTACCTCCGCGGCGGCTACAAGCTGCACAGAGGTCATGTTCCAGGCTTCCTCCTGCGACATTCCGGACATAATCCTTTTAGCCATGCAAGAAACGCACTCGCTGATCTTTCTAGAAGTAAACATAATTTGAATCAATTTTTAAATTATTCCCGTGCCCGAATATTGTACGTTGATGGTAATATGACAGACGCTCCGAAGCGCTAACTAATATTCGATTCAGGAACGTTTAAAGGATAAATATTGATCTTTATTTAGTTATATAATATAAACAAATTTTAGCATTAACTTAACGCTTACAATTTAATTACAGCGCCTGTCTGTTAGAAACATCTGTTAGAAACTTAAACAGCTGACAAATAATAATTTATTAAAAAAAATCACATTGCAATATAATATATCGATATTATAAATAGAGATAAAACTATGTCATCTCTCTAGTTGGAAGCACACGTTTGGCAGCACACGTTTTGAAAAAAAAACGTTAGAATCGGATAATTAGTTTCGGAGTTCATTCCGGACAAACATCGTGACAAGTGAAATGTAGTTAATAGATAAAATACAAGAAACATCTTTAGTGCAATCTACATTATTGGGTTTTTTGCTCTATAAATAAACAAGGTACATCTCTATAAATTTATATACTTCTGTTTTTGACTAGAAAAAACCCTAATAGAAATATATCGTGAATTTCATTTATCCACTCAGACCTTCTTCGATACGATACGACCCTGGAGATATTTTTGTATTTAAATTATAACAACATTATTTTCAAACAGCAACGGTTCTAAATGTAGCCGTGCCTTCGACTCCTGTGCGTTTCCACGGGAACTACTCGGATGTATCAAGTCTTCCTATCATGATATTATTCGCTATTTCTATCAATTCGAATTTTGGCACGATTTTTCCTCCGCGATGCTATCTGGGCGAGGATATTCGCTGTTTTTTTTTATTTTTTTTTTATTGCTTAGATGTGTGGACGTGCTCACAGCCCCCCTGGTGTTAAGTGGTTACTGGAGCCCATAGACATCTACAACGTAAATGCCGCCAATCACCTTGAGAAATAAGTTGTAAGGTCTCAGTATAGTTACAACGGCTGCCCCACACTGCAAGACGAAATGCATTACTGCTTCACAGCAGAAATAAGCAGGGTGGTGGTACCTACCCGTGCAGACTCACAAGAGGTCCTACCACCAGTAAATCCACCAGTGTTCTGCTGATGGAGGCTATTAAACAACGTACCTCATGGAGACGGTCTGGAACCCCTTTATGATGCCTTCAACTGTGTTTTCCCATTTATCGTTGAATCCTTCGGTAAGTGTCGTCCTTAAATAAGCAACTGTGGGCGTCAACTTCAATGTGTCCAAGCCTCGCCATACTTTCACTAAAAATCTATATTACAAAGATACGATTAGGGACTTATATTTGTTTTGTTTTTTTTTTTATTACCATTGTAGGCAGACCAGCGTACGTTCGGCCTCGGGGTTAGTTGTTACTGTCGCCCATGGACATCAGCAAAGCCGAGCATAGGCAAGCCGTTGCCTCCTGCAAAGTCAAATGTTTCACGAGTCGTAGACGGAACGTCCACTTTTACGGCTTAACGTGAGCTTTGAATACTCTACAGTTTTCGTGGTGATGTATCTCTAAGCCCCAAGCCAAACAAACTGCAATCTGCAGATACTATTAGTTATTTCTTTGTGGAAAGAAACATTTTTAAAACATATTTATTAACTTGGAACTTTATTAACTTTGGAATGAGCTCCCCTCCACGGTGCTTCCCGAGCCCTATGACATGTCCTTCTTCAAACAAGGCTTGTGCAGAGTTCTTAACGGTAAGCAGCGGCGTGGCTCTGTCCCTAGCATTGCTGACGTCCATGGGCGATCATCATCACCCTTAGGTGAGCCGTACGCTACTCTGTCTATTAAGGTAATAAAAAAAAATTGTTTGTTTGTGCAAAAGGAAACTTTGAGTTTCATTTTCACCGAATTCAAACCGCTCAATTAACTTGAAAATTTGCGATGACAATACAATGATTTTAGAACTTCACTTTATTATTGTCACCGGTATATATAGGATAAAATATATGAAATTAGCATGTTTTGCCATTTAAGAGTGTTTTTTTTTAATAAGCTACATGTATATTATTAGACAATATTAGGATGTAACTATACTGAGACCTTTGAATTTATATCTCAAGGCAGGTGGCGCATTTACGTTGTAGATGTCTACGGGCTCCAGTAACCACTTAACACCAGGTGGGCTATGAGCTCGTTCGCCAAAATAAGCAATAAAAAAAATGTAATCAAAGCGAGCGCCAGCCTACATGTATATTAATTATTAGACAATATTAGGATGTAACTATACTGAGACCTTAGAACTTATATCTTAAGGTGGGTGGCGCATTTACGTCATAGATGTCTAAGGGCTCTAGTAATCACTTGACACCGTGTGGGCTGTGTGCTCGTCCACCAATTTATTTTATTTTATTTATTACACTTCATGTAAACTTTACATTGGCGGACTTAATGCCTAAGGCGTTCTCTACCAGTCAACCAAAAGTAGTGCAGAGTGAATAGTGGTAGGTGCAATGAAATTTATATTAAGTTAGAAATACATACACAGAAAAAGTATTATATATACATACATATATACAAATATACACGATCACATATTACATTACATACTTACATACATTTAATAATACTTTATACAGTATTAAAAATAATCTTTGCAATAAAAAAAAAGTAAGCGCCGGCAGTAAAGCCGTCTGCTGCCCGGTCACCTCGCGGTCTGCAGCAGCAGGACTGTGTTGTCCCCCTCGAAGGTGCAGGCGGCGTCCAGCACGGCGCACGTCTGCGGGAGGCCGGACGAGCGCATGTAGCCGTGGCCGCCGCACGCGCGCCGCCCGCCCTCAGCCAGCGCCGCCGTGTCCGCCGTGCTCACCGCCTTCAGGCAGCAAGCCAGCGCGTGCAGCTACACCGAGCGAACGTTCTGTTATGCGGGGTCTCCCGATTAAGTTTTTTGATCCCACCGCTGTCACCAATGTCATGGGGGGTCTCCCGATTAGGTTTTTAAAAAAGGAATTTTGAAAAGGATATTTCACTTTTATTAGTTCAATTACACAAACAATTAAATTATAGAAATTGGCAAAAAGGAGATATTGTTTAAGACCGCTCCCGATAGGTGACTAAATACGACTGACTGACTCTCGGTCGGTAACTGTTACCGAGAGATTTCTTAGTATGCTTTCAGGTGTTATTTATGAGCTCCGCTACCAGACTATAGAAAAAATACATTCTTTTCAAATTGACTATTAAAATATTATAATTAAAGGCACACTGGAAGACACACATCTTTAATCGTCGTATTTTATCATGAAACCCTCAGAAATGCACAACCCCGTCAGTGCGTTCCTCTATCTATAATTCAATTGAAGCTGAAGCATAAGTTAAGAACCCAATCACTTCCCCACTCGTCCAACCGCGCTGGGCCCAAGACAGCCCAAGACAAACCTGGCCAGTTAATTCAAGACCCTTAACCCAATGTGATCCGCTAGAACAGTGACTCACTTCGGGTAGTCTCTCCAGGTTCCCGCCCCGCAACTGCTGTTGAACTTCATTGAACGTATCCCACAGTTTGGTGGCGGTCATCTTAAGGGCATGACATGTCGCTATGCCTATGAACAGCTTGTGTTGTTGCGTCAAAAAATCTATTATCTGACACTCTGGTTCACTAAAGGAGAAAACACATCGAATTAATACGAAAAGCACACGAAAACCTTTTTTTTAATTAAGTATTATACTGAATTCTGGGTATACAAGATTATAAGGATCATAAGCTCTAGTCGAATAGGATATATCACCCTGTCTATTTCTACCGCAGAGCAGTTACGCGTTCTGGATTGAAGAGTGGGACAACTGTACAGTACAACAATACAGACAGTCCTTATGTCTCAAGGTAGTTGGTATTCACGATGTGATGTCTCCGGTAACCACTCTACACCAGGAGGGTCGTAAGCTCAATTACACATCTATTCAATAAATAAAAAACCAGGCTGGTATTGAAAGGTGGCTATAATGTCACAGCATTATAGTAGCTATTATACTTCAGTATTTCAATCTCATTTCCATTGAGTATGCTTTATAAATTATCAATGTAGAGGAGCTTACAATGATGTTTCTTAAACTTTGATCAGAGTGGAACAAATTTCCACTTTACGATGCTTAATTCCACAATCGACAATTTAATAATAATTTTATAATAATTATAATCGGTTGGAAATCCATCGTAAAAGTCCTCATAATATTTGACGCGTGTAATATCCTCTGTGCCTCTCCATCGCTTGTTCTGCGCTCTCGCTTGCACGCTTAGGCTCAGGCGGAACGTGACATTTTTTCGTGCGTGCAGCCGGTGTTCATCGATTTATAGGACGTTATCACGTCAAAACTATTTCCGGGTATACGTACTTCGCTTTAAGTTGTGACTGCCTTCGAACGGCAGCGAACCTGGTGGCGATGGTGACGGCCTTCGACAGGTAGTTGACACTGTCGAACACTATGACAACGCGCACGAACACCATCGCGCCGTAGTTCAGTTTGCTGTTACGAGACTTCACGTACGTGCCGTCCTGAAATCAATACTTAGTTTTTTTTTATTGCCCTTGTAGGCAGACGAGCATGTGGCCCACCTAATAGTAATTGGTTACCGTCGCCCGTAGACTCCAGCAATGCCAAGGGCAGAGGCAAGCCGCTGCCTACCGCTAGTCTCTAGTCTGTGTCGCAAAGCATGTTGCCAGTGACGTAGCGATCTTAGCTCGCGTCCGTCCCGCCGTCCCCCCCAATCGAAAACCACATAATATTATATGTAAAAATACTCGCAAATGAAGTAAAACAGATGAAGTCACAAACTCAAGCTAGGCTTTAAATTTGAGACAAGAATTGTAGTTGAGAAAACGAGACGCGATTTTGAAATGTATATGATCATCTAGAATTAGTTCAAAAGATATGTACCTATTATTCGTTTTATATATTTAAAAATAAATATTTAAAAAACACGTGGTTATATAAAACAATAAAAAGTTTGATATAGAGTACCTATTAGTATTCCTTTTTTTAATTTTTATTTACGAATTAACATATATTACGGCACTAAATTTAAAATATATTCCCCAGAAATCAATTACAATAAAAAATAGCTGGATATATTTTTTTCGCGGACCATTTAGCGCCCCTTTTTCTGTAGCGCCCGGGCATGACGACCCCCCTTGCCCCCACCCTCGCTACGCCACTGCTTGTTGCAGTTGCTTTCTCGAAGCTTTCAAAATAAGTAAAGTATGAATCGTGAATTGTGTACCTCTAACACTTGCGCGTGCTTCATCAGCAAATGCCTCCTCGGTATTCTCACGTGATTGAAACCTATGAACCCGTTGTTGATCATGTTCAGGCCCATCTTAGCCCCGATTTCCCCTACTCTGATCCCCGCTAAGGGCATGTGGGTCTCTTCGTCTCTAACTTGCACTATGAACGAATGAATACCATGACATTGGCCCTTGGTATGCAACTGCGCCACAACCACGCAGTAATTAGCCGTGTGACCCACTGGAAAAAGAAATCCCGACATTGAGATATTTACAATAATTTTATTTTATTTTTATTTATTTAATATATTTTGTTAGAAGAAACACGACAATAAGGATACAGAGTACAAGGGCACTACTTATTTTATGTTGAAATCTCTTCCAGTAGGCCCGCAGAAGAAAAGAAGAATTAGGAACACAAACCTAGTGCATACAGTAAACATTACATATAATAATATATACATATTACAAGATACAAAACAATATACATACATACAAATATACACACACACACACATATACTTACATTATATTATTATTATAATACATTATACAAATATATATACTATACATTCATACAATTTATACAATCGTATTAATATTTCACACGAATACTGATCGAAGAATAATTATAATTTATTTATTCAGCTCTATGCACAAAAATACAGTGGCGGTTTAATGCCTGAGGCATTCTCTACCAGTCAACCAAGGTTGGTGAAGAGAGTCCTGTGGTAGGTGCATTTCTTTTTGAGAAATAAAAAAATTATCATAATATTATATGCATATACAAACACATACCTACCCGGTATACATACACAAACGTCTCATACAACAACGTAAGTATATATTATTATAACATAATAATAATATAAGATTTTGCACATACAATCGTTTAGAGATCGGTTCTTTAACCATTTTTAATAAAGGTCTTAAAAAGCCGGAATTATGCAAATTTATCAGGCGGAAACAAGATTCGAGCGTTTAATAGTTGATTCATGCCTATGAGCCTATGTCAACATATTTTTACTGGTGGTAGGACCTCTTGTGAGTCTGCGCGGATAGGTACCACCACCCTGCCTATTTCAACCATGAAGCAGTAATGCATTTCGGTTTGAAGGGTGAGGCAGCCATTTTAACTATATTGAGACCTTAGAACTTATATCTCAAGGTGGGTGGCGAATTTACGTTGTAGATGTCTATGGGCTCCAGTAGCCACTTAACATCAGGTGGGCTGTGTTAAGTGGTTAAGCTTTAATTAATTTTTAATTAAGCTCGTCCACCAACCTAAGCAATAAAAAAAAACTTTTGGCATATTAAGGTAGACGCAATCAGAACTTGACGCAGTGGACAGAAAAGTCCACTGCGTCAAGCGATTGTTAACGGCATACAGAATGCATCATCCACATTTATCTGTGATGTGGTTGTTGTATATTCCTCGGAAATGTGGGAGTCGTGGTATATGGAATGCCAAGAATAACCGAGTGATATACAACCTTAGGTAATATTTCCTTAAGCTAAACGTGAATATGTATCGGGATATCGTTAGAATCGATAAGGGACTAATTACACTATCCTTAACTAACGGGAATTGAAAGAGGCCAAAGGTAGAGTGTATTTCGGATCGCATAGCGGTATCGTATGGAGGAATAAGGAGTTACAGGGTAGGTTCTACCGGGCTCTCACTGAACCTAATGTGGACCAATTGGCTTCCGTGGCCTGGCTACGATTCAGTAACCGCTTTGAGGAAACTGAAGTGAGGAAACTGAATGATTTAAAAATAATTTTTTTTTAATATACTTTTAAAAAAATATTGTATAATTAATAAGATTTGAAAATAAATATAGGAGAACATAAAATATACACATATATCTCTAAACAATCAAATCAAATTCTCATAGGTACATATATACTTAGTCTGGCCATAAATACTGTTATAATTAAAAATAAACAAAATATTACATTTGAATTTGGAATCTGTCATTTTTATATGATTGCTCATTGAGTTTTCGCATTTTGGCACCAATACATTATACAATATTTTACGATATTAAAATGGAGTGGGGTGATAAAGAGAACCGAATCGCTGTGATTGCATTACACAAAGTAGGTATGGAGCCAAATGCAATTTTTAAAACTCTCCATACGCTTGGTATTAGGAAAATGTTTGTGTACCGGGCTATTAATAGGTGCAATGAGACCTCCTCTGTTTGTGACAGAAAAAGATCTGGCCGTCCACGCAGTGTTCGTACGAAAAAGGTGGTCAAAGCAGTAAGGGAAAGAATTCGAAGAAATCCTGTCCGAAAGCTAAATATTTTATGTCGGGAGATGAAGATAGCACCTAGAACCATGTCGCGTATTTTAAAAGATGACTTAGGACTTGCAGCCTATAAGAGACGTACTGGTCATTTCTTAACTGATTATTTAAAAGAGAATAGGGTGGCAAAATCGAAACAACTACTGAAGCGGTACGCAAAGGGAAGTCATAGAAAAATTGTTTACGATTGAGAATTTTTTTACAACTGAGCAACATTTTAACAAACAAAATGCCCGTATTTATGCTCAACGCTCTAAGGAAGCTTCCCAATTAGTCGACAGAGTGCAACGTGGGCACTATCCGACTTCAGTGATGGTTTGGTGGGGTATTAGCTATGAAGGAGTGACTGAGCCATACTTTTGTGAAAAAGGTATCAAAACATCGGCACAAGTGTATCAAGATACCATTCTTGAGAAGGCAGTGAAGCCCCTTAACAACACCATGTTCAATAATCAAGAATGGTCCTTCCAGCAAGACTCGGCGCCAGGTCATAAAGCTCGGTCTACGCAGTCTTGGTTGGAAACGAACGTTTCGGACTTCATCAGAGCTGAAGACTGGCCGTCGTCTAGTCCCGATCTTAATCCGCTGGATTATGATTTATGGTCAGTTTTAGAGAGTACGGCTTGCTCTAAACGCCATGATAATTGGAGTCCCTAAAACAATCCGTACGGTTGGCAGTGAAAAATTTTCCCATGGAAAGAGTGCGTGCTTCTATTGATATCTGGCCTCAACGTTTAAAGGAGCCAATGGAGACCACTTCGAATAAGCTTTTTCTACTTTAAATTGTTTTATATTTATGTATTAAACTAACACACTGTAAAAGTAATAAATGTTATTTGCAATAGAATTTATTTTCATATCATACACATTCACACATGTGCACATTCACATCATAAAAATAATTTATACGTTATACACTTGCCTTTTTATTTTACTATTGAATAATTTTGGAATTTGTTCGGTAATATATTATTATCACCGAACACCTTTGTCAGCATAATTCGCGTGACGCGGTAACTCTATTTCCACAAATCGTTAGTGAACGATCAACAACCGCGTCACCCGGGTGCATTCATAACATAAACATTTAATTGATTTACAAATGCTTTTTTTTAACTTATTGATGCACAAAACAAATTACAATCATTACAGTACATATTAGCTAAATCGTACAAGTAGTACCTAGATCTAATCTGGATTGCAATCTAAATAGTATGTGCACTCAGCAAAACCATATTAATGTGCATAGCTTTGGCTATTGAAAATACAATTGAAATTACAAATATTGATAACTAGCCATTGTTAAATAGGATATCCTTCAGATTGTGGACAATTGATTATTTTAACAATAAACATTTTTAAGCAACACTAGTGGTCCCGCAGTAGTCGAAATTCGACTATAATTAATTGAAATTGTAAGTTTGTACACTATTATGATTCTATTTACAAAGACTATTATACTTCTATAATCACAAATTGCGCCAAGACTACACTATAGAAAAATATTATAAATACAAACAATATTTAATCTATTCTCAATTTGACCACGGACGTCAATAACAAAAGTTTGACAATAAATAAATAGTATGCATGCGTGTGTGCGTCAAATATAGGTACATGGTAGTGTGTGTAATGTTTTTTTTATTGATTTAATGTATTTTTTAGGCATCATTTAAAAAAATATTAACATTCTGCACTCCTCTATATTCTCTATAAGTGTGGGAAATATACTCCTAATATACTCCTAATATACTAATAATTCATACTCCTCCATCCGCGCAATTTTCGCAAAAAGGGATACAAAGTTTTTATTTCATGTATTAATATATAGATAATCTTTAAATAACAAACTCACACCGCAACCTACGGAATTATTTACGAAACAGTTCCTCGAACTGAATACTCACATGCCCCGGGCCACCACTTGTATGATGTTACTGTTGGGCTGTGCAACACGAACTCTTTGGTGGCAGCGTCATACGTGGCGGTCGTCTCTAGACCCCGGATAAACGTCCCGTGCCCAAGCTCTGTCTGAATAAAAAAACTGAATTTCTACACAATTTCTTTGTCTATATTTTTTCTAATTCATTTTACTTCGTAGGATTGGAATGTCGTTTTTTTTCCTACCTAAGCTGGTAGCTTCTAGCGGCTATGCCAGCGTAGCCGAGCGAGTAGGTGACCTCATAGGGCTTTAACCTGAGGACGCTGCTAATACTATCCCTAGTAAGGGCAGTATTTCGCAAAATTTACCACCGCATCGGCAACGCGACCCACTGAGAAGATCCGTTCGTTCGTATCCTAGTTCGCCGAATCTAGAATAACACCTCGAGATACTAGAATAGGTAGGAAAAATAAACACGCAGTCAGTCAGTAATCGGAACTACTTGAAGCGAATTGAGAATTTTAAAGTGTTTGTGAGTGTTTTAAGTGTTCTAAGTGTTCTAAGTGCTAATACACTCTTAATTTGTAATTCGGTAGAATTTTCATTTATCCCGAACCCCAGCGTGGAACATTTCCTACTTCCAACCCCTCTCTTTGCTTTAATTAAAAAAACTGAAAACATAGTAGAGCTTAGACGTAAATCCAGCTGTCGCTTGTGGCGCTTGAAGCGCTCGTGATTTCTTATTAACTAACCTGAGCATAACTACCGATTATATTGCAATTCCAAGCTCGAGGAAGCCATTCCATCTGCTGTTCTTCGTCAGCCTGACTTAAGAACACCGGTAAAAACATCATGAAGTGCAGCGCAAAGGGAGTTCCTTCGCGGGAGACCACGAAATTGAGCAACGTTGTGAGTACATCCCTGTTACAAGAAGAATAATAATATTATTCGTCTTGATATTATCATTATTTATGGACAGAGAATTTTTTTTATTTTTTTCTTTTGTTTTCACGTATCACAAATATAATTAAAAATTAATTTTAAGGTTTAATTTAGGGCCACTGTAATAAACGATTCATAAGCCTTTCAATTTCAATATCCTTAACAAAAAATAATGATTTATTGATTGACGTATGTACATTTCAATGTTTAATCAAACAACGTAAAACAGGTGTATTTAAAATAATAATAATACAATTTTACGTTTTAGTTTTTGGCTGGCTTTCTCTGTCCACAGATTAAATAACAGTGCATAGTGAACGCCGTCCGCGCCAGTGGCTATAAGGATATCGTACCTACAATCCATTAGACAGCTTAATTTTTCTTCATGATTTATGCGTTAGCGTATCGATTATAATTGACCTATTTGAGTTTAAACTTTTTACTAATGTAGAAATTATCTTGAACGATGTTGAAAGATAATTTTCTGATATAGCACCATACACAAAATGTGACGCACTAATATTATAAAAAATCCGTTGAGAAGTTTTCAAGTATATACAAACCTGTAATTTGTGAGGTCACCACCATTTGCATCTCTCATAAAATCTTGAACAATTTTCAAAATAATAACATTCGTTTGGATGGCCCTTTCGTATTTTTCTTTATGGCTAAGATAGTCTTCTGGTGTTCCGCCAAACAATTCATCCTTTTGAGCAAGAATTAACTTCTCTAAAAAAAGATTTTAAAGATTAAGACACAATAAAACGAAATCGTCACTACAAGGCCTAAAAATGTTTTCGTATACTGTTGACAAAATATTCATAAGACATTTATAAGACAATTGTTAATATTTCCATAGAAATAAACAAATTTCCATCCATAGCCCGTAACCCGTAACTTTTAGGTACACGAAAATTGCTTTTTTTTGTATTAATAAGTTAATTTCATTCTTAGTTTTAAATTATAAGTCGGCCAAACGTAACTGCGCAGATTGGACTTCACATTACATAAGCATAAATTTAAATTTTGAAAAAAAATATAAGATTTGTTCTTGCGCCATGATTTCCATGATTGATTCTGGTTTCTTAGAAAGGTTTTGCGTTGCCACTAGATAGACAGACAGATAACTGACAGATTATTGAAACAACACAACTAAAATAATTTTAACAATAAACTTCAACAGAAAAATTCAAAATTGGTACAATATACGACATTATAGCTCGGAATGCTCTATTCCAGACAACCCGGTTCGCAGAGGAAATTAATACACACGAAATGAATGGCGATTTTCAAGACAGAAAATATCACCAATTGTTCAAAAGCAAAATGTGACACAGCAATTAATTAACTGAAATCAATAAATACACATGTTTTTACATAATTAGGTATTTATAGCATACGTGTGCTAAAACACACATGCGTATCTCTAATATAGGTAATATTGCCTAACTACCTCAGTTGGGACGTCCGCGACCGCGAAAACGGTGTGCTTAGTGCGAGTTCTTTAACGTTCTCGATAGCGTAAAAGTTAACTAATATTTGTATGGAATGGGATCGTTTGCGTCCGTTTGCCGCTAGGGGCGCTGTTCCAACTGCATACAAATTTAAGATAACTTTTACGCGATCGAGAATGTTAAAAAACTCGCACTAAGCACACTGAAGTATCGAAAATGTCCGAAACAATATAATGACAATAAAAATCGCGAGATTGATCCGTAAAAGTAGTTTTAATTATGTCTACAAGCTCACTGAGTTGCTCAGCGGATCTAATCAGCGTGTCGTGGTTCCGATCCGGTGGTAGATTTTGCGAAGCACTGCTCTTGCTGGGGTCAGTGTTAGCAAATTCTCTCTGGGCGAGCCCGCAAGCTCTCCTACCTATCCGGGCGTAGCTGGAATAGCCCCTTGGGCTACCAGAGAATAAGTAGGGGGGGGGGGGTTATATGAGGGATATTTGGACCTTCCAGCAATGGCGAATGAGGGGCAGGGAGTCGCTTACGGTATCCAGAAGCATGGTTTATGTGCATAGACCACAAATTAACATGCTGTAGTTTTAGAGTCACTCAAGCTTATTTAACTGCTCCTCATTAAGATCAAGATAATAGATATTCTACAGAAATAATTTTATAACGTTTTGTTGCACTAAATGAGGAAACTGACGTAATGTGATAAATTCGCACTGTAAAAATTTACCTATTCACACTAAATTCACAAAAGATATTAAAAACAATAATTAAAATATACGAACGTAAACAATGAGCGATCTATCGTCGAGGGTTAGTTCGAAACAATTATACATATAATTATTAATATTTAATTACATTATCTGAATTTAATTATATTCGCTTAACTACAAAAATTATTAAATTAAACTATTATATAATACGTGAGTAGATGAAGGGGATATGATACAATTTATGAATTTTGAGAAAACGGACAACAAACTTTTCTTACTTGTACTTGTTCTTCGTAAATACATAACACCTTCATCACGATTTCTAAAAATAGCCATTAAAGCAAGAGTTTTAAGGTCTAATATGGTTTACAGGCACATAACACCTTCATTCAATGTAAAAACTCAAAAATCTTAAAAATTGTACTTAACCCCTCATCCACTCAATTCTTCAATTAATTATCAGTCAATATATGATATTAGCTTTTGCCTGTGACTTCGTCCGCGTGGAATAGTTCACAGATAATGCTTTATTTTAGAACAAATTTGTTTAACATAAAAAACGTTATAGTGAGCCAACCTTAACATAAAGACATATTCTGTAGCAGATTTTTTTTTAGATCTTTTAAAGGGGAATAATTCTGTCATACATTATTTTAGCGAAACTTTAACCGTTTCTGCAGCGCACGCGATTTTGAAACATTCTTTATTGGTGCTCCGCTTGTATTAGTCTTAGCGTGATGTTATATAGCCTAAAGCCTTCCTCGATAAATGGGCTAATACTGAAAGAATTTTTCAAATCGGACCAGTAGTTCCTGAGATTAGCGCGTTCAAACAAACAAACTCTACAGCTTTATAAAATTAGTATAGATACTGGTATACCAGCCTGAATCGAACATTAAGAATTCTTCCATAGTTAGTATATAATTATAATAGATAGACAGATAGAATAAAACGAACAGCTCTTCATATTAAAAGAAATAGAGTGTTTGATCTTCGATCAATAAATTATTGATCGTCAACCTCAAGCACCGGTCATTGTTCTCGTCAAGCCCGTTGCTTGCGGTCAATAAATTATTGATCGAAAGGTTTGATTCACAAAGCAAAAAGGCGCGATCAACAAGCGATATCAGAACTAATACTACTAACTAACTAAGGTCTCAAGTAACTATACTTGAGACCTTAGAACTTGTATCTCAAGGTGGGTGGCGCATGTACGTTGTGGATGTCTATGGGCTCCAGTAACCACTTAACACCAGGTGGGCTGTGAGCTCGTCCACCCATCTAAGCAATAAAAAAAAAAAAGAAAAAAAGAAAACATGTTCTTGGGAAAATCTGCGGATTTGCTATGTAACGACGGTGCTATGCTGTTTTTTTTTTTATTTTTATTAAGGCTAACTGGTGGCTCAGAGGCCTTTCCAACTGCACCAGGACAAGCGGGCGAGCAAAGTCTCAGCCAGGAGAGGACGGGATATGCTAACAGCTGCCCGAACGCCTCCAAAGGAGACCTAACAATTCAAGGGCAACTGCTTCGCGAATTAATCTACTACCGGATCGGAATCGCGACCCGCTGAGAATATCTGACGATGAAGTGGGCTGATGTATGGTTTAGGTTACATGTCGAACTCTTTGCCGAGTTCGACGAGTACGGTTGCCAGAGTATAAGTCTGCTCTTAGAGCTGTAGGTATTTAATGCAAGAGTTATTGGATCTGATGGATGCGTTTGCATTGTGTATTTTACGTAATATACTTCGCAGAAGTCTGTAGTGACTAGTGACAAAACCGTATTGGATAATTCGATGAGATCGGCTTTTTGCTGAAAACCCCAGATAGGATACCAAAACTATTGATATTTATCAACCACTAAATGGGATTGTCAAAAAGGCATGTTGCTGTATAAACGTGGAATAGAGGTATACAAAGGCTTCGATTGAAAAAAATACCTTTTATTTATAGTAACTAGAAATTACAATTAACAACCCGTTTAAGGCTTACAACACTAGTACTTTCATTTTTGTTGTAGTTGTAATGAATTAATACAGGAACTATTTCAGTCTAACATTGTCACGACTCATTTTCATTTTTAAATTCACTACCCCATTTATTAATATTCATCGAATCGAAATGTAAATGTATTTACTGTAGCAACTATTTATTTGATAAAAGTTAATAGCCACGGTTTAACAGTTACTATCCAGGTCATTAAACCTTTGACAACGCGCATGAGTTTCGAAGTATTCACTCAAGGCTTAATGTGTGAGTCGCTTGGTGGACTTGAATTGCGTGATGCGTCTGCGACTATACCGGCTGATATCCTGGCGAACGATTGCAATAAATAATGGAAATATCATACATATTACGACAGATTACAGATACTTATTAATGTTAAACTGTCATATTTATTGCAGCATATACACCAGACGTTGTTCGCGTTTTGTTTATTTACCAAGAGAGAAAGTACCTTATGAATCCTGTATACAAATTTTGTGCAAAATCTCAAGCAAATCCTTTCGGTTATTAACCTCAACATCTGTTCTTAACACAAGTACCACATTTCAAGTTGTGGTTCGTAGAAACACCTCGTGGGCCACGAGAGCATCAGTCCTATATTTGAAGTCATTACTTTACCGCCGGTTTATCTACAGGATTACATAAGTACATAACCAGTTCTTCGCGATCATGTATTGGTGTAAATAGTTGAAAGTAATCTTAAGGTCAACGCTCACTTATCTGCAAGTGACGGTCCGAGCAGCGTCACCCCATTACAGCAGAACCAACACAGACAAATATAACAACATACATATATAATTATATATATCGATAGATGTATTTTAGCACTGATAGCTCCAGGCAGACGTATTGTAAGACCCGAAGTGGATATTTTCCACCATCCTGCCTACTTCGGCCGCGTTGAAGTAGGTATAGCGTTCAGGGTAGGACTTAGGGGAGGACGACCGTGGCAAAAGCTCCGGGGGCCTCTACAAATGAAGGGCCCCCACAATAGAGACTTTGGAAAAAAAATCTTTCAAATTCAGACAAGTGAACAATAGGAAGCATCTTTTCCTTCCTCCGAAATTTAATTTCAGGCAAGTCTTGTCCCCGATTATATTTATGTTTGTTTGTTAAATACTGAGAGAATCTCCGTAGTTTCACAATAAATTATTTATTGGAAATCACGACTGAAATAATTTGTTCATTTTATTTGGAAAATAATTTGGAGCCAGGGAGCCTCCGCTCCTCTGTTGCCCCGAAGCCTCCAGAACTCTAAATCCGGCCCTGATAGCGTTCCGACCGCAATTTTTTTTTATAATTAAGGATTACTACTGATGACATGGAAGTTATTCCAGTTTCACCAGGACAGGTGGGACAAATGCCCGAGCGCCTCCGAAGGAGCCCTAGCAATTCGAGGGCAACTGCTTCGCGAATCAATCTACTACTGGATACTCGAGCCGCTGAGAAGATCCGGCGAGAATCGCAGCGGGCTGATGCATGGATTAAGTTCCACGTCCAACTCTTTGTCGAATTCGACGAGGACGGTTACCGGGGTCCCTACTCCTAGTGTTAGAACTAAAGGCATCTAATGTACGGGTTATGCCGATCACAAATGTGGGTTAGCCGTTAGAAATATAATTGAGATTTCGCCTTAATTGGGTATATAAACATTAGTAAACCGTGAAGTAAACTACTCATCCAGCGGAATTAAAATAATAAGATAATTAAAGGTAAAAATCACTTATTCAAAAGTTACTACTTACTTTTTAAAGAAAATTCTTTAAAAAAAAGTTAAGGATTAAATTAAAGAATAATATTGGTTGGTTCGAAAAGACTTATGACAGCAGATAACCAGTTTTATAATAAATAAAAAGATAAACTATAAACAATTGTCTGCAGGATCGCACGAAAATTGTGACGTCATAACGTCAAAAGTAAAATAAATATCAAAGTGTATAATAAATATATCAAAAGTAAATAATCGATCATCAAGGACAGAAAAGAAGTTGTTTGCGAGGAAAATAATCATCCACCGCAAGTCGCTGAGCTCACAATTAGGACACGTGTTTTTTAAGTTTATGTAAATATGTATCTGTCTCAGTTTAGTGATGTACCAATAGCCGAAGGTTTCACCTGGTCAATCGTAGCGTTAAACATATTGAATTCCCTACACAGTTTTTTTTTTTTTGGCTCTTTATATTACTCTCATAATTCGCATTATTTAGAAAATATTAAACTATGTGCAGTTAGCTCTCCACTTCGTTTGCTGCTTGTATTTAATTTTTTTTTCTTGAAACCGGTTCTTTTGGTAGAAAAATAGAAAATAGAAATTCTGGCTACCAAGTTTCTAAGCATTCTCTGACTGGCGCGTAATTATTTATACAATCTCATGGATCTGTTTTTATGATTTTAGTAATGAAAGTCTAAATGTTATATTGGATATAGATAAGTAAGTAATAGCATAATAGCATTCCAAAAAAGCAATTCTGTTAGATGATTTTATGAGTAAAATCTTGCGTCATGTCGAAGTAGCAACCGATAGGTACAACTACAAACGTCGGAATTCCGCATTAAATATAATAGATTTATTTAAAACCAATCAAGTTTCGTATTTATATTCAAAAGAAAACCAAAAAATTACGCAATTTTTTTTTTATTTATTTCTTTGATGGGTGGACGAGCTCACAGCCCACCTGGTGTTAAGTGGTTACTGGAGCCCATAGACATCCACAACCTAAATGCGCCACCCACCTTAAGATATTTTATAATGAATTGAATGTAAGCTTCGAATGTAATTGGATAAAATTAGAAAGCATTTAAAAAAAAAAAGTACAATAAAGTTGCGAATTACTGGCGACTCCTAAACGCCAGCCCAAGCATGTAAACGTCCATAGGTTTAAATTAATATGCACACGTAAATATATTGGGTAACAACTTACCAATATGTTTCCTTTCTAATGTTCTGTTCTTGCCACCGTCTATGAATTCAGTTAATTCTCGTACATTAAAACTGCATTTGTTTCTTTCATTTTGCAAATCTTTGTTTACGTTCATTTTTCTGATTTTATTATTACCTACGTCCGACCGTTGCGCGACTTATCAGTCGCCCGATCAGTAGCGGAGTGTATAATACTGACTAAATGAAGTCTCACTCACTCAGTCCGTCCGCAGTTGGTCGTATGATGGCCTACTGTGTAAATCTAGTAAATACAATCTAAGGCTGAAAGACCAATGCTATATAGAAACATTCTTACAAGACTTGACCCGACGGTCTACTCGGGTTTTTCTTTTTTATAACAATCATTCATTAATATTTTGTTTTGTGTAATTGAGTCGACTATTATCAAAGCCGGCAATGTGACTTTTGGACAATTATTGGTAAATCAGAATAACGAATTATTGACTTTGTATTCCATTGGCAGTCACAAAACTCTTCTGAACGACATCTTAGATAAATAACAGGTTAAGTATTAACCTTTATTTAATGCAGGTTTTATACCGTATTTGAAGGAGACGATTATATTCAAATCAATCTGTATTGACATATCAATAATTTTTTTTTGTCCAAATGCACAGATTGCCACCTTTGATAATAGAGGACTCAATTAATGCTAGAGTCCAAAGTTTCCAAACAAATGACCCTGATTTAAATATTTAAATGTAAAATTTGTGATTCAATTTTTAAAGTAATTTTACTCCGGTTACCACTTATCACAAAGTAAACTGTCAGCTCTCGTCTACCTAGTGACTTCAAAAAAATCTAGAGCCAGAAACAAATGCAGGATAGCTTGGGGAAGAGCATTAAGCCTTGTGCAACGGCAGCATTATTCTACATCACCAAGGCAATAGCCTTCGGAGTCCTTCCTTCGTGCTCTCTAAGGTCTTAAACCATAAGGTTTATGACGATAACCATACACCGGCATACCGCGAGTCCATGCGGCTCCGTAATCAAGACTAGGGTAAACTAGATGCAGTCTTCAACTTTGTCAATATTGTTTTTTTTTAATAAGTGATTACTGTTGGCCCAGAGGCCTTTCCAGTTTCACCAGGACAGGTGGGCGAGGAAATGCTCAGCCGGGGGGGGTGGGATTTGCTAGCAGCTACCAGAGCGCCTCCAAAGGAAATCTAACAACTCAAGAGCAGCTGCTTCGCGAATGAATCTACTAGCGGACCGGGATCGCGGTGAGATCCGGCGAGAAACTCAGCGAGCTGATCTCTTTGAACTCTCTCTCTCTGAACTCTTTGGCGAGTTCGACAAATACGGTTACCGGAATTCCTAAGTCTACTCCTAGTGTTAGAGCTGAAGTCAATATTGTCTATACCCCCCTAGTATACGGAATTCACGGTTAAAAAGAAAAAAAACGAGATTACTAAGGTTGTCTTAAAAATATATTGCTTGCTTGAAGACCGACATTTCATGTACATATAGTAACCGGCAAACATCGTGAGCAAATGACCTTGACTGCGCAGAACCGAATTTTAGATCACTTTGGTGGTGAGGGTGAGGCGCGACGGCAGGGGAAATCGTATCGAGCGCGTTATTGGTAGATCAGTCGAACCCTGCGTCTCGCACCGCGCCTTCATTCCGCTTGCTCCCAAAAGTACGCTTGCGTACAGTGAAAAGTCTATCGTTATTAATCGTTAAGTTATTTGTTATAATTGCTTGTTGACTTTGTTGTCATTGCTATTTGTTGAGTGTTTGTTGATTTTTTATAAAAAATACACTATGCCGCGACAAACTGGTGTAGTATTCAAAAGAAAGGGTAGAAAAATTGTGTACGACGTATATTGCTTCATTATAAAACAGGGGAAGAATAATATTATGGAAAAAGTAAAACAGACTTCGGAAGCAACAAAAACATCAGTGAGTACTGTTAGGTGCATTATTAACGAAGCTAAAGGCTCTGGCTTGCTCGTCGTGCTTGGGACTCCGGGTAAGAAAAGATCAGGGAAGAAGAAAGTTACCGGAATGGATAGTTTCGTTCAATCTGTAATAAAAAGATGTAATCATAATAACTACATAACAAGCAGCGAAACTAGTACCGTACCGTAGAAAGGCTTCGAAAATTTTAAAGAAGATATACATTTTAATGGCTCGGAATGAAGCTTACGACGAATTATGAAAGAGCTAGGCTTCAGATGGAAAAAAAAAACAGAAAATAATCGGAAGCTGGTAATTGAAAAAAGTAACATTCGATTACTACGAGTCGAATATCTTCAAAAAATAATTAATTATAGACAAAAAAGAAGATCGAACCGACCGAGTCGTAAACTACACCGATGAGCCCTATGTCGACTTATCACGATGATGGCGACTCGGGTGATGAAAACAGTGATGATGATAATAGTCAAGATTATGATAACTAAAAAAAAATTACAAATACCAGCTTCGCTTCAACTGAACGAAGACCTGGCAACAGCTCTAGTTTTGACTTAATAGAAGGAATATCTATTTTACCCCAAGATTAAATTATTACAATTCTGTACCTCAGAGGTAAACAATAGTAACTCCACATTTTGTCGAAATTAAGTTTTTTATACCATTAAAATCGCAAGAACCAGTTCTACATAATGGTATAAAGCATTAAATCCTACGTTGCCTATGAAAAGAGATATACAATGGTATATAACATTAATTGCACAAATATTAACAGGGTATAGGATCTCAAATGATGTTGATATTTTTTGCCTCTAACCACAGCGCGACGTTAATGCTGTTCATTGGATATAATGTTCTATACCTCTTAAAAAACGCGGGGGCGCTCGCGATACACGTGAAACTGTCGTTGCTTTGAGCGTATAAAATAACGCAATTAATTGTATAAAAGTGTAAAAATAATATGTTTTCACGTGGAAAATTACTATGTAATCTTGCAAATCCCGGAGAACAGTGTAATGCAACTCCTGAATATAGTAAGTGCTCTTATTATTACTTCCATTATCATGAACATACTGGGTAAATAATAGAAATGTAAACAAGTGGTAATTGCATGCTTGTCGTATAAGTGGCGAGTGGCTGAGTGGCGAGCTTTCTCTCATATTGCCCGTTATTCTTTTCTTCGAACAAATTTTAATCCAACCCATGATAGTGCTCAGTAGTTGTTAATGCCTCTCGCCGTCAACCTTCTGAGACTGACCGGGCTGAACGTTGTTTAGAACTTAACGTACTTTTAGCTCCATCTCAAGAAAAGTGTACGATCGGTGTTGCTACTGATAATGGATTCCAACTGTCAACCACTGTTTTGCTTACTGATATTTCTAAAAATTTCGTACCATCTACAAACTTTCAACACAAAGGTACAGTTAAGTTTATGAGCTGAAGATTTTTCACCATTAGATGAAGAATATATACCAGACACCGATGTAGACGCTACAAAGTGCGAGTATGTTGGAAACAGGCAGGTAACTATACCAGAAACAAGTAACTCATCCATCGAAGATGTAGAAAATATGATAGAAAACAGAGAAACCCAATTACTCAATCAATCAGTTAATTCCTTTAAATCCTTTCCTTCCGTTAATTCCTTTAAATCCGTTAAATCATTTTAGCGTCTGCACTATACGCTAAAAGGATTTGACAAAGTTGAAGCGAAAGAAAGCCATGGTGCCAAAAAAATTCTAACTGTAGATCTCCAAAGATGTTTACCAACACTCTATTTGACTATAGCCAAAGTTTCTATTACAGAAAGCTGTGGACGTTTAACTTTACGATTATGGACTCAGTTCCAAAAGATAACTGGTGTTTTATGTGGGACGAAACCGTGGCGGGTTGAGGTGGAAATGAAATGGCATCAGGAATAGTTAATGTTTTTAACGATAGAGCGTTGAAAGAAGTAATCTTATGGAGCGACAATTGTGCGGGGCAGAATAAGAATGTATACTTGATGGTGGCTTAGGTACTTCTGGATATTGACTCAAAAAGAGCATTTGTAAATAATAAACCACAAGTATTTACTAAAAGGACACACATGGAAGTGGATGTGATCAACTCAATAATAGAACGAGAAAAGAAAAAGATCCAAGAGTTTCCCATTGTTACTCCCTGGCACTGGCAGTAGTTTATTAAGAGCTGTTCAAGAAATAATAAAAGTAAAATGATTAATATGGAAACCGATCACTTTAAGGATTTTTCTGCTTTTTGTGAAGGATCATTAACTCCTTTTGTTCACAGAAAAAATCGAATGCAGGAGAAACTGTGCCTTATTCAGCTATAGTGTGGATGCAGTTCCGAAAAAATTAGATGGGTTCATTTGACCAGGAAACATTCTAACAAGTCAGTTTTATTAGAAACAAACGAAGAGCATGTTCGATGTCCGCGACGAAACCTATTGGAGAAACTCTAAAACCCATTTCAGGACTGAAATACAACGACTTACAAAAATCGTTGCAGTGGATTCCATCTATGTTTCATAAATATTAAAATAATCTTCCATGAGCGGAAGTTCCTGACTTGCCTGAAGCCTGCGAGTGAGCTATTAGTCTCCTATAAATAATCAGATAAATAAATATTTCAATTTCTTAGCACAGACTTATTATTTTTATTATATAAAATAAATCCTCCTGTCTCCCTCGACCCCTTCAAAATTACTTACACATACATTTGGATTACCTTATAATATTGTATACCTCTAAGAAATACATTTTTTTTAAAGGTATATAGCCTCAAGTCCATAAAAAAAGATAATAGATAGATTTATCGTAATTATGAAGTATTTCATGATACTTCCCTCTATTTATTATAAAAAATACAGCTAAGTTAATTACTCTGCCTCTATTATAACTCTCTCAAAATTACATTCAAAATTTCTCTACGCGCATTTTTGCCTCTCCTGTAAAATTTGACTTTAGGCTCTTAATGTTGTATGCCTCTGAGGTACAGAATTATTAACTTATATTTTTTGTTGATGTTCTAATAAATATATAAATAAATACATATGTTGATTTTAATAATTTAATTGCATTATGACGTAGAGTAAATAATGTTTTTGCACGTGAGTGTACCATGCGCAAACTTACCCCCACTACGTCAACAAATACTCAAGAAGTTTGCCGGC